GCCTATGTAAAGGAGGTTGTTAGACTGGTAGCCTTATTCCAAGATTGCCGACTACAGCAAGTTAGCCAAGATGAAAATTGCCATGCTGATGCCTTGGCTAACCTGGCTGCACTAGCTATTGCGGTTCCCAATAGAGTATGGAATTGAGGAGATCAGAAGGGATCAGGTGTAGGTAAAGAATTGCTCCATGGTAGCAATGAAATCCACGTACAACGTGCGAGAAGCAGAAACAGTAGAGATTGAGGACGAAGATATGGAGGTCCTGGATAACGTCGATAAAGAGCCGGCCGACAAAAGTGAGGAAGCCTTAAAGAAAATCCTAGTACGACAAGGGGATGAAGAGTGTTTTTTTCTTCTCGGCTCAAGCTTGGCTGAGGAGGAGAAGAAGTTAGAGTCATTCTTGTGAGCAAACATAGAGGTGTTTGCCTGGACGCCATACGAGATGCTTGGCATTGATCCCAAGGTCACTTGCCATAGACTAAATGTAGATAGGACGGCTAAACCTGTCATTCAGCGAGCAAGGAGGCCGATGTTGGTTCATGTAGAGGCAGTAAAGGAGAAAGTAGACAAATTGTTGGAGGCTAGAGCCATTCGGGAGGTAAACTACCCAACTCGGTTGTCAAAACATAGTTGCTGTGAAAAAGAAGAATGGAAAGTGGAGGATCTGCGTGGACTTCACCAGCCTGAATAAGGCTTGTCCCAAAGACAGTTTCCCACTTCCTAAGATCGATCAATTAGTGGATGCCACTTTAGGGCATGGAAGGATGAGCTTCCTGGACGCTTACAAGAGGTACCATCAAATAGCAATGTATTCCCCTGATGAGGAGAAGACTGCATTTATCACCCCAAAAGGGCTGTATTGCTACAGAGTGATGCCTTTTCGGGTTGAAAAATGTAGGAGTAGCCTACCAGAGGTTGGTAACTAAGATGTTCAGACATCTGATTGGCTAAACAGTGAAAGTGTACATTGATGACATGGTCGTGAAGACCAAGGAACCTGAGAATCACCTAGCCGACTTAAAAGCAGCTTTTGATGTCCTTAGAACATATCGGCTCCAGCTCAATGCTTCAAAATACGCATTTGGAGTTGGGTCTGGTAAGTTCTTGGGATACTTGGTTACAAGAAGGGACATTGAGGCAAGCCCAGATTAAATCAAAACTATCTTGACTTGAAAAACCCAACGTCAACAAAACAAGTGCATATGTTAACAGAAAGGGCTGCGACCCTAAATAGGTTTATAAGAAGAAGTTCAGATAAATGTAAACCTTTTTTCAGTTTATTGAAGAAGGCCACAGATTTTTTATGGACAGAGGAGTGCGAAGTCACCTTGGCCGACTTGAAGAAATACCTAACCACAGCTCTAGTTTTATCAAATCCAGCACCTGGAGAGGAGCTATTTTTATACTTGGCCATTTCAGAGCACGCAGTAAGTGCAGTGATAATCAGAAAAGAGAAAGGAGAACAAAGGGCAGTGTACTATGTGAGTAAAACCTTAGAAAGTTCAGAGACCAGGTACTTACCCCTAAAAAAGTTAACACTAGCCTTGGTGATGGCTTCAAAGAAACTGAATCATTACTTCCAAGCCCACAAGATTGTGGTGTCGATTGAGCACCCCTTGAAATCCCCGCTGCAACAAGGAGATCTGACAGACAGGGTAGCCAGATGAGCAGTGGTATTGAGCCAGTATGATTTAGAGTTTAAACCCAGAACGACAATCAAAGGCTAGGTTTTGGCTGACTTTGTGGCCGAGTTCACACTCAGTGCCATCCCACGTCGGGCTCCGGTGAGCCGTGGCTTAGGGTGTCCAGGGGAACAAGAAGAGACCCAATTGGGAATGAAAAACCCCACAATAGAGCAGAAGAAAGAAGAAAAATCCAAGCCTTGCAATGTTTACATTGGCGACTCCTTCCGCCTGTTTATTGATGGAAGTTCAAACCGTCAAGGAGCGGGGGCAGGAGTGGTGTTGGTATCACCAGATGGGCGAATGTCAGAACAGTCTATTCATTTGGGGTTCAAGGCCTCAAACAATGAAGCAGAATACGAGGCACTAATCGCAAGATTGAAGCAAACAGCAGCAATGGAAGCCGACGAGTTGGTAGTCTTCTATGACTCCCAACTTATTGTGAACCAGACAACAGACGAATATGCAGCCCGAGATGAAAGAATGATAGCCTATGTCAAAGAAGTTATTAGACTGCTAACCTTGTTTCAGGATTATTGACTACAGCAGGTCAGCCGAGATGACAACAGCCATGCCGACGCCTTGGCTAACCTAGCTAGTGTAATGAAATCAGGAGAGGCAAGGACAATAATGGTTGATTATTTGTTAGGCCTAAGTGTGGAACCACTAATCACAGAGTATGAAGCAATGTGTGTGGAGATGGGTCCAAGTTAAATGGATGTAATAGTGATGTTTCTTAAGGACGACAAGTTAACGGATGATCACAAAGAGACGCACACGACCAGCCTGAAGTAGGCAAGGTTTAGCCTAACAGCAGAAGGACATCTCTACAGAAGGTCTTTTACTGGCCCCTTTTTGAGGTGTGTGCACCCCTCCCAGGTTGAAGACTTCTTGTATGAAATACATGAATGGGGTATGTGGCAGCCATGCTGGGGGCAGATCACTTACTCATAAGGCCATTACTTAGGGGTATTGGTGACCTTACATGCAGAAGGATGCTGAAGCCTACATCAGAAAGTGTGAGAAATGTCAAAGGTTTGCACCTTTGATACATCAACCAGCAACTGATTTGAACCCAGTATCAAGCCCTTGGCCATTTGCCCAGTGGGGCATGGATCTTGTTAGACAATTGCCCCAAGCAACTGGGCAAAGGAAGTTTCTGCTGGTAACAACTGATTATTTCACAAAGTAGGTAGAAGCTGAACCCTTTGCGAAGATTCGAGATATTGATGGAAAGAACTTTATATGGAAGAATATCATCACCAGGTTTGGGATCCCAAGGAAAATAATAGCAGATAATGGCACATAGTTTGACAGTAAGCTAATCAAAAGCTTCTGTGCAAAGTACAAAATCAAGAACTATTACTCTAATCCAAGTTTCCTTCAGAGTAATGGTTAGGCAGAAGTATCCAATAAGACTATCTTGGATGAGATCAAGAAGAGGCTGGAAGCAGCAAATGGAAAATGGGTGGAAGAGTTGCCTAATGTACTCTAGGCATATCGGACTATGCCGAGAAGATCAACTAGGGAATCTCCGTTTGCCATGGCTTATGGCACTGAAGCGGTTATCCCACTAGAAGTCGGTATACCAGGGATCAGAACCCAGGCAGTGGAAAATGGTACTAATGAGGCATTTCTAGCCCGAGATCTAGACCTACTAGAGGAAAAAAGAGAGAAAGAGCATCAATTTGGCTAGGGACATACTAGCAACAACTTGCTAGGGCTTACAACATGAAGGTCAACCCAAGAGAGTTCAAAGTGGGGGACCTTGTACTAAGAAAAGTGGTCGACAACAAGAAGGATCCTATGGAGGGCAAGCTAGGCCCAAATTGGGAGGGGCCTTATAGAATCATCTCGGTCGCCGACAATGGAGCATATCGACTTGAGGACAGTGATGACAAAGAGTTGCCAAGATCCTAGAACACTTGTAACTTGAAGTTTTTCTTTCATTAGATTTTTGTTTTTTCGAAGTTTATGTCATAATTTTATTAGCCAAGGTAGTAATAAAATTTTACTTTGATGAATTTGAAATTTGTATGAAAGGACTGATCAGTCCCAGGGCGATGTTTCTAAAGTGAAACATGATGAATAACTTAGACTTATTATATGGCAGAGTTGAACTATACTTGCATATAATAGAGTTGAACTAAGTTGGCGATGTTTCTAAAGTGACACATGAGGAATAACTTAAACTTATTATATGGAAGAGTTAAACTATACTTATATATAACAGAGTTGAACTAAGTTGGCGATGTTTCTAAAGTGAAACATGACGAACAACTTAGAATTATTACATGGTAGAGTTGAACTATACTTGCAAATAATAGAGTTGAACTAAGTTGGCGATATTTCGAAAGTGAAACATGACGAATAACTGGCAGAGTTGAATTATACTTGCATATAATAGAGTTGAACTAAGTTGGCGATGTTTCTGAATGAAACATGATGAATAACTTAGACTCATTATATGGTCGAGTTGAATTATACTTGTATGTAATGGAGTTGAACTTAGTTGAATTAACCTGGACTTGCCATGTCGGCAGAGTCAAATTGAGAATGGAACTAAGTGCATTTCAGTTAGATTAATAGAGAAACCAAGGTTGAGAACCTCGGTTAGTCTTTGTTTGAATTTGACTTTGGAAAAAGACAATAGACACATGCTTAATGTGAACTTAAGTGAAACTTAGGTTCACAATAAGAGGCAGAGAGCTGGAGAAAGAGAAAAGTTTATGAGCTTCGGAAAACTTGTTAAAATTTTTTAAATTTACAAGCTAGAATTGGCTTAAACACTTGTTGAAATTTCAAGAAAATTTGCAAGTTAAAATTAGCCGAGGTAATATTGAAAGAAGTATCCGAGATACATATTGACCGAGATGACCAACCAGGCAGGTTGTCAAAACTTGGAAAGAGCGAAGTCTTGAAAGAAGATAGCATATGAAGGTAAGAAAACAATACTAAATAACACTTGTAAAAATACTTTGGTATTTTTAAAGTGTTAGCCGAGGTATGCCAATGGTTGGCCAAGGAAAGAAGTCAAGGTTTATATCCGAGATATTATATCCCGAAGTTACTATGCAGTTAAGGCATACTTTGAAGAAATACAAAAATATTCTAAGGCATGAAAGACATGAAAGAAAGCAGTGGACATGTATGAAAAGAGCATTCAAACCCCTAGCTTAAAGAAACCGTGCATTCATAAACGAAATTGTTTTAAGGACAAGAAGGCACTTCGGCTTGGCCTAGAAGATTACTTGTTCAACTTACAAAAAACAAAATACAACTGAAGGAAGAAAGAGTACAAAATAAAGAAGAAATATCCTAAGCACTGGGGTTGGTGTGGGACTGCTCAACCTCGGTTGTTGGAGTTTTATCGGCCTTAGTTGCCAGTATTACATTCTTCTCCACCACTATCTCGGCATCTATTTCGAGCAGAGTCTGGTCTAAACTCTCTTCGGCGCATTGGACCTCAAAAGTTGGTTTGGGAGAGGTGCCCTTGGAAGCCAAGTCATCCTCCTCATCTTCAGTCAAGTCAAGGACTTGCTCATTTAGGGTGGGGGATTTAGCATCAGTGGCAGCTTCCTCTTCCTCATCGTCGGCATTACCATCCTCATTAGCTTCGTCTCCAGAATCCTTGGGCTATGGAGGGAAAGGATCTTGGAGTTGATTGATGTCTCGGAGGTCGGAGTCCATTAGAACAGATAATTCGTTTAGTGCCCCCGTCCAACTGAGGTAATGACCTCTGTTGCAAGCCAGGTTGACTTGCTCTTTGTATTGATCTCGGACAGCAGCTTGTCCTTTCTCAAATGCCTTCTCATCGGCCACCTTGACATCGGCTTCCTTTGAGTCGAGGGCCTTTTGGAGCTTGACCTCTAGCTCAGCTACTCTGGCTTTGGCAGCCTCAAGATTGGCTTTGGAGGTTGCGGCTTCAGTATTGACCATTTTGGCTTTTTTCTCGGCTTGATTTTGAGCATCTTTGGAAGCCTTGGCTTGATCCAACAAAGCTCGATTGTTGACTTCGGCATGATTGAGTGAGGTGAGGAGTTTGGCAGCTTCCTTAGTCTTTTTTGCCAACTCATTCCTTGCCATCTCAGTCTTGATCGCGTTTGAATGAGTATGCTGGATAACCTGTAAGAAGTATAACAGATTAGTGAAATTTGACTAAATATAGAAAGACTGTAAAAGAGTAAATAAAGAGGATTACCAAGACAGAGTGCTGCATCATGAGGCCAAAGTTTTCATACACAAAGAGCTCGGCCATGTGATTCATATCCTCGGGTAAAAGCACGACCGTTGATAGGGCGTAACTGACCTTGACGTCATTAATTACGCTGTCACCAACTGTCAAGGGTCTGTCCCCCACCATGACTTTGGGAGCCCAGGTCATATTGTGCGGAAATCTGCGACCCTCAAGTTGGTCAGACCTCGGCCTTTTAGATGGTTGGGAATCTGATGCATCGGCCTCGGTTGGCCTTTTCTCAGCGGCTGTTTGGTTTTTCTCGACCTCGACTAGTTTTGAGATTGACACAGTGTCAATTTGAGTCACTGTGGCCTTAGCCTTGGCCTTCTTCACTCTTTTCAGCTTTGGTTTTAGTTGGGATAGAGAAGATGAGGATTGCACCATCACAACCCCGGGGATATTGGCAAGGAGATCCTCAATGATGGCTGGTTTATGGCCCATTTTGTCGGTAGTGGAAGCAACTGTTACTTTGGTGCCGAAGTGTCTTGTTGGAAGGGCGATTAGGGGATTGGTTGGGTCGTAAGCTGATGCCTCAGAATCTCGGCGTTTGCAACTGCGAGTTCTGCCGGCAGGAGTTGAAATTGGAGCTCGGCGTCGGCGTTGGCGTTGGCGCTGGGATGGAGGAATTAGTTGAGGGGCAGAAATAGATGGTTGCTCAGCTGGGTCAGAGGTGGAGGCCTAATTTGGCCTTGGAGATGAAGTCGTTTGTAAAGTTAGGGTAGAAAGAGGAGTCTTGCTTTGACGGGGAATATTGGGCAGGGCCGACTTATTGGTCGGAATATAATCTAGCAGTAGTGGGGCCTTGCATTTTTTAATTGGCAAGTCTAGTAGCCTTTTAAGGTCTTTACTGGGGAATGAGGTTTTGCGAAAATCTTTTGATGGTTGGGGAAGAGCTGCAGAAACAAAGGAGCAAACATTAATACTAGTATATAAGTTCGATAATCCTTAAACTAAGGTAGAATTATGGATGACTCAGTTCTTACCATCACCCTCCTTAAACACTCCTCGGCACAGTGGGAAGAGATGAAGATCGTCATCTGATGCAAACTCCTAGTTGCCTGAGACGATCAAATAGTCATCTCCTGCGCCCTTGTTCGAATATGGGAGGTCGGCTATAAGTTTATAAGCAGTGGATCGGGGCTTGAGGTAATACACGTAGCCTTTGTCAGACTTAAGGCAGCACATAGTGCAACAATACTGAATGTCGGCTAAAGTGATCCTGGCCTCTTCTCAGCGTGCCAATTCGATTATGCCATTAATAACCCTATATGAGTTAATGGCAAGTTACATGGGGTTCAGTTTGTAATAGTGAAAGACTTCATGAAAAAATTGTCTAAAGGGAATCGAAGTCCACACTCTATAAATGCAACTACGAGGAAGGGCATGAGGTTTCCATCAGGCATAATGGAGTCTTTCTCCTTAGCTAACCTGATTTGAACGTTAGTTGGGATGGAGAATTCTTGTTGGAAATACTCTAGCTTGGCTGGTGTGTCTACCCTCCACCTAAACGTATCCATGATGTTAGCTTAGTAAAGATTGGTACATGATTTTAGCAAGGAATGGTTGGTATGGGTTTAAAGACCTCGGCTGACCCTAAACGGGCACTGGAGCTCGGGGTTTTGCAGATCTAAGGGAAGTTGTTTAAATTCTTCCTAGGTATTTGGTTTCTAGGAAAATCCCAAACCTATGATCTATGCAAATGAACGGGAATTGAAGGCAAAAATATGGAAATACCACAAGAAAAGCAGAAAAAAAAAAAAGAGTATGATTTAGAAATCAAGAAAGCGGCCAAAATCCATGAATAAGGAAAGTCATCAATTTGCAGAACACGAAGTAAAGTGTGCAAAGACCAAAAGTAGTGCGCACATTCTTGAATTCATGAACAAATTGTGATACGTTAGACAGATTCAAGAAAAGGAAACGATTCATGAAGATCAAAACATAGAGATAGAGATAGACTGGCAACAAATAATATGCACATATGGTAGACTTGGGACAAAATAAAAAGTGAGAGACTGGAATTATAGGAAAAGAAATCATGGACTTATCGAATAAGGTTGGAAAGAAGTTCGTCGGAGTCAAACGACGATGTTAACTAGAATGCAACGGTAAGAAACTCCCCGAAAGCAGTACTCAGGTGATCGTAGAAAGCTCGAAAGGAAAACAATGGCAGTTTGAGAGAAATTTTATAGACAGAGAAAACTTTGAGAGAGAGTGCGAGGATGAAAATGAAAAGACAGAGAGAGAGAAATTATTTTTGTTAAAAATTCAAAAGGGCAGCAAACCATAACGGAATGCCATGGATAACGTGTTTGTCAGGCGGCGTGTGTAGAAGCGACACAACCTAATGGCACGTGTCAAGTACAAACCAATGAGAGAAGGACGCATGGCGGAAACGGTTGAGAAAGTCGTGCGTCACAGCTCATGTGCAGTTAAAACTCTTGGAGTTCTTGATTTAATGAGGAAAAAACCTCGACTAGAGGAATGATCTCGGTTAAGAAACTTAAAAGAACTTGGTCCTTGGTCCTTGGCTACTAATAAAGATGGACAATTGATATGAAGCCGATGAGACATGATCTTGGTCGAAGAAAAGAGTGAATTCTTGGCTGACATGAAGTCTGGACGAACGATGTAGGTTCCATAACCTCAGGTTGCCGAGGTAATAGAACCTAGGGGGTAGTTATGGGGGCATGTTTCGTGAATGACAGCACGTGGTCAAGGTGACACCGGCGTGTCAGCCGAGGTGCCACGTGGCTTAGTCCTGGCACCGAGGTGATCTCGGTTAGGCCGAGGTTAACTATGGAGATATCGGAATCCAAGATGAGCGGATAATGGACAAGAGTCCTAGAACAGGGGAGGACCTTAGTCTGGATAAAAATAAAACTCTTAGGGAGTTTATCTCTATCTAGCTGGGAGTCAAGGATAAGTATTGAACCAAAGTCCATTGAAGCGAGGCTTCTACAGGGATCAGGTTAGTGCTGCCTATAAAGGTAAGGCACCTTTGTGGGTCTAAGGTATGCTTTTTATGCCCTGTCTAGTGAGTTAAGCACTATTGGCTATCTTTGAGAGATAATTATTGACTTGATCATCGGAGTGCCCCCGGGTGGACGAACCACCGCCCGATTCTTATCTTTCTGTAACAGGTTGTTCGGGCTTAATCTATTCTGCTGGTGCTCTCCTGCTGAGTTTCGTTGTTTGGTTGTGTGGTCAAAAATCAACACCCACATTTAATAAAATCATAACTGATAAAAAAAATTCACTTGTTTTAAAGAAATTAAATTTTTTTAACATTCCATCTGAACAAATTGATTGAATGTTAGATTTAATTTTTGAGGGAAATAAAATTTTCAACTCTCCCTCCAATCAATATGATTCAAATAATTTGATTGAATCTCACATATAATTTTATAGGTTCTCTTTGAAAAATATTTTCCTATAAATAGCAATAGACTTTCATAATTTCCTCAAACTTTCAATGAGACTCCTCCTTATGAGAGAAGACTCTTGAAGTAAGAATTTTTAGTCAAAATTTTGAAATGTATATATAAGAAAGAAAGAAAGAAAGAAAAGAAGAAGAAAAAAAAAAGTTAAAGACAGAATTTAAAAAAAAAAAAAAAGGGCCTACCCTCAAAACCCGGTTCGGGTCGACGGTTCTACCAATTCGACTACCGGGTCTTTTGGTTTTTCAATTTTACACTGATTTTCTCCTAAGTCCAGGTTTAGAGGGTTTTTCGGACCGGAACAAGGCCCGGTTCCCGGTCTAACAGGTCCGACCAGCCGGTCTAGTCCGGGTTTGTAAACAATGATTGACACCAAAGTCATCACCACAATAATATCATCCTGTGAGTTTAGATCCTCTGTAATGCTATGTGTGTGGGACTATTTGTAGTGCTTTTGCTGAGGGTGTGCCACGTCAATAGTGAGAGGAATGAAAGGTTGAGATTGTTTATTCCAAATTAGTGTCGTTTTGCTTTTTTCTTTATTTTTTTTTTTCATATTTTTGAGTGACCTCTCTCCCTCCACCGTTCTGGTGATCCCAACTCCGGCAACCCCCATACATTTCTTCTTTCATCTTTCTATTCTTTTTTCTTTTTATTCCATCTGTTTCTCTATTTACCTCTGCTTTACCTACTACCAGCACCACCTTCTCACCACTGCCAGCTCCAAACCTAGATCTAGGGTTTTAGCAATCTGTAAACCCTAGATTTAATCCCTACCTCGTTTGCCAGATTTCACGCCACCTTAGCCATTGCCATTGCCTTCATTGCCTCTAGGTTATACGATAGAGAGAGACAGAGAGAGAAAGAGATCAAGTGAAATAAGAGAAGAACAAGGTGTAGGAATGGGAGGAAGGGACTACTGGAGGGGAGTACTGAAGTCGCTGGAGGGCTAAGTTGTGACGGTAATGGTAGGAATTGCCGGAAAGGAGAGGAGGCCATAGAGAAAAGAGCCGGATCTAGGGGTAGGATAGGTAGATGAGGTGGATTTAAAGGGTTGTTGGGGAGAGTGGATAGGTTGCTAGAGGTGGTGTTGATGACAGCCAGGGCAAAAGGGCCAGAGGAGGGAGAAGGGAAGGGGAAGATGAAGAGTTTGGAGGGGGCCGCCAGGAATGGAGGTCGCTGGAAGAGTGGAGACTGCCAGTGCTTTACTACCTTCTTTCTATTCAACGTGTTTTTTTAGTTTTGGACATGTGCACTAAAACGACATCATTTCGTTGCATTACAACAAGCATTACACCCCATGGCCCTCTATCAATCGAAATATCTTAAATAGTTGGAGTCTTTAATTATTGGGGGTATTTTTGTCACGACCCAACCCCGCCCCTATGGGTTAAGCACCGTAACCGGCCAGTAATCCGAGATTATCGAAGGCCTGCTTAACAATAATACAGTAATACAGAGTACAGGGGCTGGCGGAAGCCAATACAGTAAATAAACAAAGTCCAATGAGCTATGATAATCTGTATGCAAAAAGACCTTTCATTCAAATATATACAGTCAGACAAAACAGTATGTACATATATACAATCATTCAGTCAGGGACCTAATCCCTATTAAACAGTACAGTACAGTAAATAAACAGTTACAAAGACAGAAGGGGGGGAACTAAAACACCCCTAAGCCATAACTTGACAGGCTCGGAACCTCGCATTGAGGCACATAGGTTGGCTCGACAAAACTAGAGTTTACCCCGACGCTCCTAGCTGCGGCCTAGTGCCTGTACACCTACATATATATAAGCAGTGAGCTAAAGCCCAGTGACTAACACAATGCGTAAAGGGGTTAAGAATGAATGTCCTCACAGTAATGAAAACAGTTCATTAAACCAGTATTTCAGTCGTTTAGTCAGTACAGCCATATGTGGTACATCCATTAGCATAACAGTACAGCGAACAGTAGGTCTTAAAAGACCGAGCAGTAAATGATGGCCATCAATCAGTA